TAACAATTTAACACTTTTAACTATCTGCCCATTTGAGAGATAAATGCAGTTTCACAAATATGGTTTCAATTTAATGACAAAAAAGACAATGATTTGCGAATTTAATTTGGATCTTGTAAGATAATTAACTTTTAAGGGATACCTGTTTATCATGCACAGTTTTAGATAAGTTTATTATAGATTTTGAAAATGATTTACGCAAAACTCAAACTATATTACCCAAGGGGGTTAGGGGTTAGTCTAAAAATCTATCTATTTGCAGGTAATTCAATGGCGACACACGACTACGTCGTATTTATTGGGCCGCCACGCGCCAAAAATTAAAATATCTCTGTACAAATCGCAAAATTATAGCAATCAGCAAAAATTATACGTTCACAACAATCAAGTCGACGTATGTTCAAGGCAGCATAACGGTTTTTAGGACACAAAAAAGCTATTTCTAAAGAAGAGAAGGCGGGTAAATTCTGCCCTTTAATAGCAATGAATACACTTCTTGTTCAAGTATCAGATGACACTCTAGTGAATTGTGCGATTTTTTAGTTCTGTTTTGTTAGTGAGGTGGGTGTTCCCAGGAGCTTCCGGATAAAGCCGGGGTTACGGCCGCTTACCTACTCCAGCACGTTTTCATCCCAAATTATGCAAGGACATATGCATAATATACGTTTTACCTTACTACCCCTTTCCTTCTCAACTGGTTTAAGTGTAAAACCAACGTACACAGCTACGTCACGAATGTGACTAGCAAACATGACGTGCTCCCAAAAGTTATTTGTTTTAAAAGTCGTTAAAATGAAATAAGCATATAACGTACGCACGCAGCAACGCGTTTATCCAAACTGGTTAGGCTTCTCATTATTTTTACATTTTAGGACATACTTAAATACATAATTATGGGGTTGCGTAGGTGACACCGTTACAATTGAAGGTTTGGGAATATCCGCAGTAAAATATTATGACAATGGCTATTTAGAACGAAAAGTAAATAACACATAATTTGGTCATTTGCATAAATCTTCGTTTTGATTTAAGGTTAATGTAAAGGAGATATCGTTCACGCCACACTTTAAATTTGAAGAAATGTTGCCTGTGTGTCAAATTTTTGTTCTCAAATCCGCATATGCCAAGGAGAAATCCACATAAATCATCCTGTTTTTGTATTACAATTAATATTTAACTTCACTTGAAGGTTGTGTAGGTATATTTCCTCTTCACTTATTATGTAATTAATGTTTTTAGAGGGTGGTGCTGATTCCGTGTGCGGACAATTCGCGCCCGGACAATTGGCACTCTGATAATTCACACCCGGATATTTCGCACCCTGGACATTTCGCACCCGGATAATTCGCACCCGGACATTTCGCTCCCAGGATATTTCACACCCTGGACATTTCGCTCCCGGATAATTCGCACTCGGACATTTCACACCTTGGACATTTCGCTCCGGGATAATTCGCACTCGAAAAATTCGCTCCCGACTAATTCACACCCGGATAATTCTGTAAATCTTTGGTTTATTAAAATTAAATATGTTTAAGAGGCTACTAGACCATTGCCTTTACAGAATGTATGTAATAGTGCACATCTTGGTAAACATCTACTTCATGGAAAAATGTTTCAAATAATAGTTATTTGGTCTTTCATTTTCAACATATCGCGATTCTTAAGTATTTCCATTTCTTAAATATAATCACGCTGGTTTTTTTTTNTATATTCCTATTGCAATATTATTTGTACGTGCTAAAAGGTTTCCAAATGAAAAAAACCTTGATTGTGAATTGGTACAATAAAACTGGGTAAATAGGTTTAAGAAATGTCAGGTGACAGTTTTGCTGATAGACCGATACCAGCGTTTAGCAGCATCCGTCTACTTGTGAACATGAGTGCATGGACAATTTACATCACGGATGAGTGTCTTTTTACTTTTTTTTTGTTTTTTTAAAATAAATTTTCATTCATGGTACCTTTAGCAAGTGTTCTCATGTTTAATACGGAGATTACAATAAAATAAGTACTTACTAAATTCCAGATTTTGAGTGATATGGATGCTATTAAACTGACCTAATATCTCTACTGCTTTGATACGGTCCATTCCATTTAAAAAGGTACATAGGATTGTACGTATGAATTCTTGCCTCATAAATACTATTAAAAAAATTATTCCTCTGCAAATTGTATGGCTATTGTTTAACCAACATACCTAAATATTTAAGTGCCACATTAAAATGCCAAAATAAAGGAAAATATCGTCAAAAATGGACTTGTCCCTGATGCTAAAAGTTGAAATTTGATTTGTTACAAAAAGTTGATAATGGATATGAGATGGCGGTGCAAACTATACGGGGCGCGTAACAATGGAGTTCGGTACAACGAAAAGGGGAAAGAGATACATAATCTATGAAGGATACATGTACCTCTTTGCTAAGAACCTTAAACTCCAAAACTGCTCATCATGGCTGTGTCGAGCGAGAAGAGCATAGAAGGATCCATCGGCTCTTAGTTTAACATGCAATGCCAGGATCTGGGTCAGCGATGACAAGGTAAGATTAGCTAAACCGAGCACTGATTTTGGAAGTGCAGGGTTTCTAGTTTCAAAGCCCTTAGTTGGGTATTTTATTAGTTAGGATATCGTCTTTTGACCTTTTGACTTTTTTATACGTACGTTTCATCGTTGCTTATACCGTCGTCTAATGTTAATTTTTAGGTTCGGCCCTCCCTTGCAAAAAATGTAGTTTATCAACCTCTTCAAATTTCAATTTTACTCTGGAACCAACCACGGATATAGTCGTTGGGCTTTCCAGTTTTACTGCCCTTTTGGGTTTTTAATTGTTTTTCATCTATTGCAAGTTTTATAGCTATAGTCTCTCCTCAATTATCTCTACCATCTTGTAGATCACCTGAAGATGACCGTTGGTCGAAACATGTACTGTATCACTTCGTTTTATTAAATTATATGGGAACGGTTTAGAGAACTTTTATTCAATATTAATAAATTATCCCATTTAGAGTTTGAACACAAAATGGACGTCACGATTCCAAATTATACCTTAATATTGAAAGTATCCAAATTTTAAATGTTTTTTTTTACGTCTATTACATGCACAAAGTAATAAAACGTGATATTGGTGAGTAATATTGGAGATTTCAAGCTCTGAGTTAATTTAATACTTCACAGCCGACTTTCTATGTTAAAAGTCAACCATACACAAAATACCCTCTCAGGGGAGCGAAATTCTTGTGCGAATTATTCCGGTGCGAATTATCCGGGTGCGAATGGTCCGGGAGCGAAACGTCCGGGTGCGAAATATCTTTGGTGCGAATTTTCCTCGGTGCGAAATGTCCGGGTGCGAATTGTCCTACAACCTGCTGATTCAGCTCTTTGTTCATATTCACGAAAAAGTTTCTTTGAAACATCATGACATAATTCAACAAAACTTTTGCCTCTTCGATGATCGGAAATTCGTCTTGGGGTGGAGGAGCTAGCTTTGTGCCTAAGACTAATTACAAACCCGATGTACAATATATTCCATGCGAATCTCATTTACATGAAAACGAAAGATGAATGTTATTAAGATTAATAATAACACGACCATGTATGTGATGTAGTCACAGTTGATTATTTAATAGTTATTCAAGAGAGGCAATGAAACAGAAGCCGTCGGATTCCTTGGGCGGTATCATTAATCATCAAACAATGCAAGTAATTATATCACACTTCGCACCTTGTATAGAGATTGCCGCATATGCCATGAATGAATTGTGCGATTTATATAGGATCTATGAGAATTGTCTGTTTCAGCTATGGCCAACGGGGGAGCAGATAACTGTACAGACTATTTCTATTAGATATATTAAAGAGAACTCCCAGTTGGATCTCGCTTTTTGTCGATTTTAATTATTTGTTATATTGTAATCTTTTCACGCCGCCCCATACATTTATAACATTAATGTCTTTCTTTGGATGCTGCTGTTGTCAATAATAATCAATTCTAATAATAAAGAAACCTCTAAATTGATTTTATTTACACGCACAATACAGTGCATATTAATTGATCTGGTGAGGACAACCCAACTGCCAGATTTTAAGTTTCGTTCCACTCAAAATCCGTCATTTCAGATACAAGTTTGCAATTAAGAACTACCCTAACACAGGTCGTTTCCTTTTAACAAAATTATATAACTTTTCAAATTTTCAAAAAATGCGAAATTTGAGCATCCTGTGTATGTTTTTGGAACAGATGCTAATTACTAGCCAAGGCCGTATTGCCATTTTTAAGCACATCTTGAAAAGAATGTGTTAATTTCATTTGTTTATAAATTATGGTCATCAACTCTTGTTAGAGCTCAGGCCTAGCCTAGTTAACGTAAAATCAAGTTATCTGTCTGTCTGTAGTTCGTCTTGTTAAGTTTGGTCTAGTCCTATTTCTTAAATTTATATGAACAGTATCCTTGCATTTACTTAATAATCGATAGTCCATTCGTATGTCATGTGAACATGACTCAGTGATGTGTAGAAAGTTGTTTGATTGTGGAAGAGTACTTATCATTTAAGATCGTCCATGTAAAATAGCTGTGTAATGTTGCATTGTATACTATTTGAACCCCATTCCAAAAACGATGGGCATGCTTTAGACAGCATATATTCTCGTTTGAAGTTTTATTTTATTTTCTACACAACCCCAAACTTTTGAGCTTGTTTAATTCAACAAAAAAGGATATACTTTTGCGTTTCTTTCTAGGAATATAGGTTACGCTACTTAGAAATCTGAATATCTTGATTTTACGAAATTAAACTCCCAGTTTAACAAAACTCCAATCATGAATGAACGATTAAATTAATATATTAGTGGAAACAAATTTCCACAAAGAAGTTGATGTTCCGACCACAAATGCGCACGTGTAGTACCAAATACAAAGAAAAAGTATAAAGCCACGCTTACCTTAATTTAATTAGATGTTATCCAGAGAAATGTACTCAGTTCCTGGATCCATAAATCTGCGACCAAAAGAAAACTCCCAAAATGCAGAGCTCGGAGTGCAATGAACTGATCAATACCTGAAGGGCCTCTCCTTAGGCTGTCAAAACGTATTGGGACTCCTGCACCGATGGTGAATTTAAGGTTACCCCCATGCGTATGTAAAACGTATCCGGAATTATACTTGAAATGGTATTGAAACTCCAACTAAAATTAAAAACCCTAAAAGAAAATCACAGGTAACCCTCTGGGTTGATAACCAAAAATGTACATACCCCTTTACATAAGAGGGCTAATTATAGATGAACGTGCAACAATCGTTGATTGAAAATTGTATATGAAATATCAGCCAACCTAAAGAAAAAAATATACGTCAAGTGTATGTAATGCAAATGGCCAATACTTACGATTACCCAGAAAGAAACGTAATTGTAATATCCTCCTATATCGGAGTTAAGGGCGAAATTCCGTCCACCAAATATTGCGGAATCCCCAAATCAGAATTCAATCGCCAAAGATTACTACACTAAAATTTAAATGCGTTTTACAATTTAATTAGAAATCAAGTGCACTCTATCACAGCTTGCAATCGAATGAGAGAAATGAAGGCCGACAGTTGATAACCAACGCGCGATAAAGTTGCGTGGTCAAAATTCCAACTATAGGTGAGGTCATCTATTCGAAGGTTACGACGGCTTTCCAAAAGGTACGAGGATCATACAACAAAATATAGCATGAACAATAATAATACTTTTAATCAATAAACCGTTACAAAACTCAACCTTGAAATAGCGAACAGCCGAACAGGGGCGAAAAAAGCAACCTTTGCCAATAAAATTATAGACAGGAAGGCCTCACTTCAGGGTGTCCAACATTCTTTCAAAAGATAATTGGCCACAGACTGCAAACTAATGGGTTTTTCAATTGGCATGGGCAGATTTTGGCGGACCATGACGGCAATTTTGTTTTGGTGACAAGTGTAGTATTCAATTTAGGCACCCGTCAGAAAGGATTTTCTCATTTGAAAATAGACATAATAGGGAAAAACAATACACATAAATCCCTATGCCTACTTCATAATGAATATAGCACTGTATATCTCATATGACAGATATAATTGGCATGTAATTGGCAAATAAAAAATAAAAGTCATTTAAAATTGGACCAATCTGGTCCGTCCCACCGTAAGAAGCCGGGGCGGGTATTTGAACGATGTCATATTATTGGCAGGAGGTCTGTGGTGTTTATATCAAAACAGCCAGGATGCTCACTCGACCTGCCCATTGGCAGATGCTTTCGATAACAACGTCGCATGAAGCCATCGAAACGACCGGTGGAAACAAAGGCATCACCTCTACAACTATAGGCTGTATACAATCCATGTTGAGGAGCAGGAAGATAACGACAAGTATAGGCGAGGAGGCAGTCACAGTGATGACCAAAAGAGGGTGCCCTCAAGGGGGGCTACTATCACCCTTACTATGGTCACTTATGGTTGATGACGTACTAACGTGCTAATACAAAAAGGTTACTATGTGCAAGGGTAAAGGTTAACGTGGAACTCCCATGAGTAAGGTGACACTGGGCAGGAATACGGCCTTAACGCCTAAGATTACCAAATGGTCCTATGATACTATAGTCAACCCCAGGGTGATATAGAGATATAGCACTGAACCGAACCAAGGGGTTGAAACCGGGAAACTTAGTAGGGCACTATCAATTCTTGACGAGGATTGTATAAAAGCGGTGATCGAATCCCCATCGGACATAATGCTGAGCACAATTCCTAGGGGGTTCACCACTTCTTTGGGGGTGGCTCCCAAACGAAGGAAAAATCGGAGTTTGTTCGTATAATAAAACCCAAGAGATGGTTTTGTAATAGAATTCAGAGGTAAGTCGAATGTAAATGAGCTATCGGGCGTGATATTGAGATCTGTAACTGATTTATCCGTGTACAAAGCATTGATAAAGGGCAAGGATGCTATATAATATACCATGCGATCAAAAATGAGTTGCTGTCGAGCCACCTTTGGAATTTTTGTTTACATGGAAAATTGTACTTAACTTGAACTTCCAAAGGCGACTCGCCAGCAACGCAATTTTGATCGCCCGTTATAGCATCCTTGAATAAAGGGTATTTGATTAGATGTTGTTTACGTGAATAAGTAGCCACCTCACATTTGAAAATATTTACCTAAGCCAAAGTAATGTATTCAAATTCAATTGCAACTTCTCACAACCATCTGCAAAAAGTAACGAATTGACTGATATATGAGGAAGTAAGAAATAAGAAAGAGTAGAGGACCCTGGGGTGCCCCAGATGTAGGTGTAAATATATTGGACAAGTGTTCACTATATATGACATAAGACAAATATTCGGATCAGAGGTTCTGTGAAGTCATATTCTTTATGTTTAAGAAGGATTTGCTCTTAGAGTTTGGTAACCCCTGTCTAAATTTATGTGAAAAATTTGAGCCTCGTTGGTGAAATATTGCCAAAAAAGACAAAACTGCTTTAAACTGTTTGAGAGTTTTAGTTACCCTACCCCTCTTATGTTGAACATGCACATGGGAGTAAATCGCAGGTGGCTATTTACTTACGAAAATCAAATCTACTCCTCCTGTATAAAGTAGGTAACATGGGAAGTGGGAGCCGCATTTACCCAGTGATTATGAATTCATCTGATAACATAATAGTTAAATTTAGTATTTAAGTACGTTCATAAAAATTGCATATAGGTACCTTTTACAATCTAATGGCTTTATAAAGTGATTAACCAGAATTAAGTATGCTGCGTCGATATTTGCGAAACTCATGAGAAAATGTGTTTAATTTGGCAGCCAAAATTCAGGTGTTACAGCACTAATAAACATTTATTATCTAGCACCACATTTTTATTATTCCCACATACAAAGAAAATCCTATACGTGTCTTCACGCATTATAACAAATTTGTCATCTTTTTAATTAATCATTCTTGTCTACCGCACATATGGACATTTTCGAGTCCCACAGAAATCGATTTGTTTTGTGTACACTTTCGGGTAAATTCAGAAAGGCATAACAATATTTGGTTGACATTTTGGGCGGATTGACTGGACACAATGGAGGTATAAATAGAAATTCAAAGCTACTTTTACACGCCGACAGTTTTCAATGACGCACCCTTTACTAAAAGATATTCCCTTATCTTTTCGCAAATACCCTTAAACGTTTCAAAATAGATCAATCCGTATGGGATAGTACAGTTAGCTACAATTCCGTCGGCGCGTCTTCGTCGTTTTTGTAGTTCGAGATATATGCAGCGACCCTACGCATTAATGCACTTGTAAATCTAGTCAACTTTTATTTAAAAAATTACTTTCATTTCCGTTTCACGTCTAGCCATGATTCCAAACCGCGTACCAGTTTTATTATTAATTCCCGTTCTAACTGGCGTCCATGCTATATAAAGTGTAGGTTGTTAAACTCTTCATTTCATGCACTTTTATGTTACAGTTCCTATTTAAGTCATTAGCGATTCCGTTTTTTTAACCTTTTAATTCTTTGCATCGAAAACCCAAGTTCATTAACAAAGGATCTGCACTTAAAATACCAAATTTAGTTTTTGCCAGTTTTACTAATTAATGATGGTTCAGGAAAGATTACTTTGTAATAATAATCTTGGTTGAAGCTGTACCAGCAAGTGACACGTTTTTTTTTAGTTCTATAGTTATTTCAGCAGATTCATTCGATTTTTATTAGTTGTGAATTAATTCAATAGACGAGTATAAAACGTGTCGAAGTGGTTTATGGATAGGAAAAATATGTTTCATCGGTAACCTCGGAATGTATTTGGTTTCTAATTTCAGGTTCATCTTGAGCAGTACCAACACCATCTCCCCCATGCGGACGTGCTCCAAAAAGCTTGCTGCTTGGGAAATTCACCTGGGGGACTGTAGATAATAATCAACGTTTTTCTTGCAAATATTGATTTTCAAATTGTTTTACAATCCTGATTTTCTTAATAATAGCAGTTTAATTGTTCTTTAATAACATTAAGAGAAAATTCATACTGCGTGGGGTTTGAAGCTACACCTACCAGCTAATTCTAAAAACTCTCCTCGCCAATCATTTTAATAGTAGTTTTTCTTTCGATTCATTGAACCACTTTTCTTGGATAACGCTAATGATGGTTATCAACAAATCAAGGGTGGTCATAGCAAGTAAATGATATGAAGGATGAAGGCACTACAAGGATGATAACGTTCAAAGATATTCAAAGTATCCATGAATAACATCATTGCTATTTGCTATCTTGCCAATTCTAACACTCGCTGTATAATATTTGTATTCGAAAATTTCCTATACAAAAACTCACCTCCATGATTGGTGGTCGCTTTAGGCTTTAAAGGGTTTTTGTTAAATTTACAAATTTGACGGTATAGGAAATTTTATGTGTATCGCTTCATAATGAAAGTGAACAGAACTTATATTCGAGAAATAAGGCGCTTTGAGATATGAAACAAGTGTTCAGGCAGATAAGAATCGATTCACTTCATGTTCATATTTTTCTTCATTTATATCTTATGACGGTAAGCACATTTGTTACAATTATTTATTATCTGTTATACCATATATATATTTTATAGCAAGGCCTGATGATGGCAAATAACAGCCGAAATCGATACCCAAAAAGGAATTCGCCAACTATGTCATTGTGATTCCCCCTCCGAATTACCGAAACGGATTTTGATTTTTTAAAATATCTCGTTTATTAATGGAAATCCAAAACACAACCATTCCCCATGAAAATATTTAATTGTTGTACAATTTAAATTAAAGGTGTTCACAGCGTACAACGCTACTAGTTTCGGCAAAAAACAATGCCATCATCAGGCTACAACAAAGTACATTAATTATAAAAGTCAATGCCTAATAGAACAAATTACCTAACGTTACAATAAACGTGAAGTTTAAAGTTGCAAAATTGTTTAAAAATTGAAATATAGGACAACGAAGTTACATCACTAAAACAGAGACGTTCAGAGCAAAATACTGAAGACTTTAACTTACTAAAATTTAGTTGGAAAGAAGTTCAAAAATGTCCAAAATTTATAACAATGGACCATGCTGGAAAAGAGAGGTTAGTTATTTATTAAAAATTTATTATTTAATTATGTTAACATGTTAAAGGTTGTAAAGGGTGCAATAGATTGTAAAGCAACCCTTACAATAGACTAATATCGAAGATTTAAATTGAACCGATTTTTTAAAGCGAACCTACATGACGCCGTACAAACCTGAAAGCAGTGATACCTGAAAAGTAATGCCAACATAATGTAAATAATATGTACAAGGTGAATCGACAAGTTACTGTAAAATTAATAAGTTTTATTGATTTCATTAAGAGAAAATTCGGGGTTATCTTTCCAATGGTGAATAATTTCTTTAGTTTCCAGTAAGACTAACTTGGTACCTTTATTGCAAATGTGTAGGATATCGTAATTTTGTTTGGGATTGAAAGAATGGGCGGGGCT